TCTCTCTCTCTCTCTCTCTCTCTCTCTGTGTGTGTGTGTCCGATACTAACCTGTAAAGGTGGCGCCTTGCTGCAGGTACATCGAAGACGAAGCTGGAGCTATGGCACCGCAGGTGAGTCTCCCTGGCCTCCGCCAACCATCTCTCTCTCTCTCTCTACTAGCGCCCAGTGCTGAAGACTACGGCTATCGCTGCTACTCCTCCAGAGTTCCGCTGCGGAGTCCTGAAGACTACCTCCTGCCCTCTGCACGTGAAGTGCCGGGGAACTGCCTGCAGCCTACAGGGCGGGTCAGCCTTATATAGTGCTGGCCCGTCCGGGAGGCTGCTCGTACCTATGCCAAAACGTGCCAGACCCTGGGGTTGACGCTCCACAAAATAGGCCATAATGGCCTGAGCTAAAACCCCGTCTGGTGCCTGAGTTTCAGGGTAGGTCGATCTTGCGAGGGCCTGAAAATGGCCTGTCGTTTGAGGCTGGAGGCCGAAACGACACAGGGCCTGTAGGCCCTAGTTTCAGGCTTTTAGGCTGAAACGAAACAGGCTCTACTCCTGCGGACCCTTAGTCTACGAGGTCGGGCTCTGCTGGGCCCGTGTGGTACGGAGTATGCCACACTCCCCTCTCCTGCCCCCCGACCCCTAAAAAAAAACAAAAAAAAAAAACAACGTTCGTGTTCGCCAGAATATCATGCCCGAACACGTTCGCGTTCGCGGGCGAAAACGAACGACGTGCTACACAGGTTTAGATTTCGGGCGGGCAATGCATGTGAAAATGCGCTACACGCTTCAGGGAAGCCCCGAAAGCCCCAAACACAACGCACCCTCATTCTGGCTGTATCGAACCAGAAAGATAGATGGTGTTGTGTTCGGGGGAACATAACACAATGGGCGTAACGCTGCTGTTGGCAGGCTGTGTGTGTGTGTGTGTGTGTGTGTGTGTGTGTGTGTGTGTGTGTGTGTGTGTGTGTGTGTGAGAGAGAGAGAGAGAGCATTTCGTGCATCCTCTCTCTGTCTCTCCACACTACCATCTTCCCTCAAAAACAATGAACTCTCATTTCAGCTGCATTGGACCGGAATGATAGCTTGAGATAGATTCATTATCAGGGTGCTGTGTTCGGGGGAAGATGGTAGCGCACATTCTCTCTCTCTCTCTCTCTCTCTCTCTCTCTCTCTCTCTCTCTCTCTCTCTCTCTCTCTCTCTCTCTCTCCCCCGCCCCTCCTACAAACTACACACAATGCGCCCTCATTTTGGCTAAAACAAAACAGAAAGATATCTCTCATACATGTGCTATCAGGATGTGAAGGCATTTTGGCTGCACAGAACCTGAAAGATAGCTCGTATACATTCGTTATCAGGGTGCATTGTGTCCGGGGGAAGACTTTGCACCCCGATAGTGAATGTATACATGCTATCTTCCCAGTCCAGTACAACAATCATCAAGGTGCACTGTGTTCGGCTGCACATGTGAAAATATGGAAAAGAGGAAAGGTGCAAGGAATATGAGTGAGAGCGATATACAGAAAACCAAGTTGCATAGTCATGCAGATGTCCAGATAGTCATGTACAAGCAGAGAGCATAAATGCACCGAGTTTCCATCCAAACAAGAGCAATACAATGACCTCGTGAGCCAATGTTCAAGCCCTCCGGCCACACCAACACAGTATTCAATGTTGCTCCTCTCTGTCTGGCGCCCAGCTCCCAGCCTACACTACTTGCCTATCACTACAGCCGCATTCATGCAACAGGCTCACTTCGACTTTGAAGATCAACGTACATGACGTCAACACCATAGCCGACCTCCCTCATGCACCAGGTACGTATCTCGTCTCCCCTCATCACCCCCCGACACCCACTCTCTCTTTCACTGCGCCTCCTCCTGAAGACCCTCCTGTCGCCCTCTACCTGCCCCACGCCCTGCAGCCCGGCTAGGGCCGCTAGCGACCCGCTGCCCCTGCAGCTCCCTCACCTCCAGCGCCCGTGCGCGCCCCTGGCCGTATAGTGCAGCAGCACAGCAGAGTGACCGCATTGCCAGCTTGGGCCAGAATGCCAGACCCTGGCTGCCTCTCTTCCTATATGGAAGTGGCAGATTCTGTTCGGCTGTGTGTGGGCCTGGCCAAGAAGCTTCCAGTAGCTTCCGTTCTGGCCCCAGTGCCTGCGCCCAGGACCAGTTTTGCAGTTGAGGGCCTGGGCCCCATACAGTTGGGCACCCCCCACATCCCCAGACTTCTGCCGTTTGCAGTATCTGCACAGGCCCAGGGAGTAGGTACGTCGGTAATGCTGCTTTTCCGTAGGCCCTTGGCCACTTTGTGATGTATCTGCCTCACGATGTGGTGCCCAGGTGCAACTACCTGGGGCAGGGAGGCTCACGCTTCCACGTAACCAACTGGCGTGCGGCAACTATCTGAGTACCCAAATATGGAAAATGTCAAATGTTGGCCTCATGTGAATATTCAGGCTCGCCTTCACTTAGGGCGGGCACAGGGCTTGCTGAGGGCCTCTGCCCATAACGTGTGCATGTCCGATAAGGGCCCTGTTAGGGCTCATTCCTCGCATTCCATCCCCTTAGCTTCGAAAGTCCGCTGAGATGCTTCATGCTGGTGCCTTCCCCTTCAATGCGCGTTCATATTTGGCCACGATCTGAGGAGCTGTCTTGACAAGTTCCTCTCTTATGAACCATCGATCTTCTATAGGATCAATACGATGCCTGAACCGTACCCGGTACTCTCTCATAGGTTTAGGTGGTCTTCCCCGTCCAGCTGGCTTGGGAACAGGCATGTCTCTGTGTTCCAGGATATCGTCGACGTCCACATGACCATCCATGGTTGATCTCCTTGATGGGAATTGCCGTGTCTCAGCGAAAGGTGCAAGCTTTGAGGCGTGAAACGTAGGGTAAGTGCGTAGGTGACCAGCGATTCTAATCATGTACGAGGGACCATCTTCTTCACTACCCACAATATCTAAGACTTCCCAGGGACCAAAATACTGAGGCATTAGTTTCCTAGAGATGCCGAACTCCTGTCCCAACTCGCTAGCCTTCACCCAGACATGTTCCCCTACCTGAAAGGTGGACTGTCGGCGATGCTTGTTCTCAGAAGCAATCATAGCTTCCTGAGATTACTTTATATGCTCGACAGCCTGCTGCAGCAACTTCTTATACTGGACACCAAATTCAATGGTTCCAGGGGTTGCAGCAGATTGGTTCTTAGGCAGGAGGAAGTCTAGAGCATATCTAGGCTTCCACTTGCAGCTGATTAGGAGTGACACCGGTGGTGTTG